ACTGGATGAATGAAATGAAACACATACACACACACGATCTGTTTGCTATTGTTGTTGGTGTTTTGACCCACAACGTGGGCGCTTCTGATGTTTTGTTTCGTTTTGAAGTTTTGATTTTCGTTAAGCCGAGATCGAAAGAAAAAATAATTCACTCAATTTCACTTATTTTTAATGCATTTATGGAATTGAAGCATAAATGTTACATGATCTCACATAGATATTCTTAAAATAATAAATACTATATAATGGAACACAAATGTACAACCCAAAGGAAGTCCGCTATATACAATGATATATTAAGCTACACATGGTCCCATTGAGTCAGTAGCTACTTATGTTTTTTGTGTTTTCAACCCTACCCTGTTTCTTTATTTTTTGACATTGCCATCCCCACATTATCCCTATTTTATTTTATTACTTATTTCCCCTCCTTTTTTAAACAATCAATATTAATGAATGACAGTCCCTATGAATGCAGTAGTTGTCTTGATGGACATCATCTGTTGGAGTTAGTGAAACAATATCCTGCTTCTGCACACCCCAAGTTAAAATTCAACGTTCAAGCTTTGGTGAGCTAGACCTTCTGACGTCAGAAACAGAATAATCGGTAGAACATTTGACTGTTACGATACTCGCCGGTTCTCTACTTTAGTGATGCTTTTTGGCTAAATTGAAGGTCTTAACAGCTTTTGAAAACCTCGAAAACCAAAGTTAAATCTTTATAAAAGTCTTAGATTGATATAAGAGAGATTTCAGACAATGATGATCAATACATAATATGCGTCGGCCATTTTTTCCCAGCCCATCCCTACGTACTAAGTACAGTGATAAGTTATCTTTAAGAAAATTAATTTATTGCACACGACTTGTATTTGTAAACAGACGAATATTTTTATCGATCTAGTTCAAGTTTTGCTCATTAGATGGAGACACCACGAGGTGAAGTGCTACTTGTTGATGATCATTATCTGCATGTTGGGATAGCGACAAATTACTCTGTTATTAAATAATCAAATGTTGACCAATATTATTTTCTTTAATTTTTAATCTCGTAAACTCCAAATTTAATGGAACTAAGTTTCCAATTATTTACTTGCATTTTTCCAAAACAAACGAAACTTAAAAACTAAGATACATTGTTGAATATTTTGGTAAACAAAATTTATAACCTTTACACTTTTTGTGAAAAGATCTATTCTTTATTTTCAATTTTATTACAGTCATATTATTTTAGATAAGCTTGATGTTTTGATTAGAAGTTATTAAAAGTATGACGTCACAGAATACAGATATATTTACTTCGATTGTTTTTTTCTGAAGTATGAATATTCGTGATGATGTAATGTTAAAAAAGTTTCTGTGTTCTTTAACTTTGGGCCCGACATGGCCAGGTGGTTAGGGCGCTCGACTCACAATCTGAGGGTCGCGGGTTCGAATCCCCGTCTCACCAAACATGCTCGTCCTTTCAACCGTGGGGGTGTCATAATGTGACGGTCAATCCCACTATTCGTTGGTAAAAGAGTAGCCCAAGAGTTGGCGGTGGGTGGTGATGACTAGCTGGCTTTCCCTCTAGTCTTACACTGCTAAATTAGGGACGGCTAGCGCAGATAGCTCTCGTGTAGCTTTGCGCGAAATTCAAAATAAACAAACAAAATCTTTAACTTTAGGACTAAATTGGTATGGTATTTGATATTTTCAACCTTAACAAAACCTTATGCGACATATGGGCTGAGTTTAGGCTTATCTGTCACTTATTTGGAACTATTTACCATAATAAAAGTGGCAGTCAGAAGCATTATTAACTGAATATCAGGATTGTCTATCATTTTTATAACTGAAACTGCGTAACGCTCTCAGCCATATCATGTGATCGAACTTTAGATTTTTAGATTTGCGCTAACCACTATGCTACACCTAGCGTTAAAGAAAAGAGTACTTTTTACTAGTATGCTAGCACCAATTTCAAATTGGACATGCATATCTATGGAGTGTGGAGTGACCCATGGTTGGCGTTGCCGAACAAAAAATGTGTTCCGTACTTTGAGGCCATAGGTGCGCTATAAGAGTGACTGGCAAATCCCACTGTTCGATCAGAGGAAAGTACTTCAAGAGTTGGCGTTGGATACTGTTGATTAGCTACCATCCCTCTAGTCACAGCTGACGACAAATCACCGAATTAAAGCAAACCAAACACTGTATAGTTGATTAGCTACCATCCCTCTAGTCACAGCTGACGACAAATCACCGAATTAAAGTAAACCAAACACTGTATAGTTGATTAGCTACCATCCCTCTAGTCACAGCTGACGACAAATCACCGAATTAAAGCAAACCAAACACTGTATAGTTGATTAGCTACCATCCCTCTAGTCACAGCTGACGACAAATCACCGAATTAAAGCAAACCAAACACTGTATAGTTGATTAGCTACCAT